AGCCCGCCCCGCTCCCGGCAGCCCCCCCCGCCCCGAGCGCCTCGGTTACCGGGGCCGGAGCTCCGGGCTCACGCGGCTAGACCCGGCCGGCGGCAGAGACGCGCTGAGCCCGCCCGCCTCAGTTCTCGAGACGCTGACTCGAGTATAAGCCGAGGGGGGCATTTTTCAGCACAAAAAATGTGCTGAAAAACTCGGCTTATACTCGAGTATATACGGTACATCCGTAATAGCCTAGTGGAGCACAAGATTGGGAATCAGATCTTCTGAATTCTGTTTCTGGTAATGTAACTGACTAAGTAACCATGGATGTGTCAGTTAAGCTATTTCTGCAATAATTTATCCATTTGTAAAATGGGGATAAGAGTTACACAGATCACAAAATCATTGTGAACATTAACTATTAAGGATTCTGAGATTCTACAGCAAAAGTGTGTAATGCTAATATTTAGTATTGATATGGTGCTTTAGAAAGCAGTTATTAAACTAATGAAACTGTGTGGTAGGAAATATTTATTATTATTAACAACAATATTAACACTAATACTAAGACTTCAGTCCACAGAAAATAAAGCAATTCTGAATAAAGGCTGTTACAGCACCTTCAAGTTTCCCATTTGTTTGTTTAAGCATTACTGCAGAAAGGTAGTTTGTGGAACACCTTTTTTCTGGTCCCACTCTATTAGTCTCATACTTCTCTGCTAGGTCAATCGTTATCAAAGAATTCATTTAAAAAACAGGAGCTAAGAATGGGAATGCACATAAATAGTTGGTGCATTCATTACATATGAAAAAAACATCCATGCCTGGTGTGATGGTGCGTACACCCCACACTGGCCATCCAAGAGCTGAATTAGACCAGGTGACCCAATTAGCCTGCAAAGGCTAGAGGCAGTTAATCAGGGAGAGACTTACTTGTGAAGTTAACAGGCAGGGCCTATAAGGTAGTGGCAACAGATAGGTCTGTTAGAAAAGACTACAGGAAGACATGCAGCAGTCACACTCTTCATGAAGAGGGTTCCTGGAGCTGTTATACTTAGAGGGAAAAGGGGAATGAAGAGTGATAGGAACCAATGCACAGAAGAAGCAGTGAGGGCTGAGAAAGGAAAGCCCAGAATTGCAGAGCTGAGGGTCCCTGGATTGGAACTTGGGGAAGAAGGTGAACTCAGGTTCTCACACCAGCCTATAAGGCAGCAGTGGGAAATAACCCGTCCACATGCAGTACACCAGGGATAGCCCCCGATGAGCTACTGCTGCTGTATTTACCTACTCCTCTGCAGGTACGGGCACTTCCAGCACCAGTTGACTGCAGATTGCTGTTCTCAGACAATGGGAACAGTGGAAAGGGGTGTCTTTGTCCGCACTGCTTCCCACAGCTCCCATTGACCAGGAATGGCGATCTTCAGCCCACGGGAGGTGCAAACAGCCATACCAAAGATGCAGATAAATATAGTGAGAAAGCCCAGCAGGGTGATCCACTGCCGTCCTATTGCCCACCCCTGCTCTAAGGGAAGGGCATGAAGCTGAGGCAGTGAATAGGACTGCTGATGGACTGTACCCCAGAAGGGAGACTGTACCCCAGAATAAGAATGTTAAGGGACCTTGCACCTATTTTGTATACTTATAAACCCATCTGCTAGAGATCTAGTTTTGAATGTATTTCTCTCACCCTCTGATCTCACTCTCTCCCCAAAGGGATATGCTACAAAAAAGATACACAAGTATATTCAGATCTCAAATCTGAATATTAGAAGACGGAATGACTTCACACGTGCAGCCTTGCAGGAGGGTGCCAGAGTTTGACGTCATGGTCTCAAATCCAGCAGAGTCAACATGTTTATGCAGCTGCATGTTATCTCAATTCACTGACAAGAACAATAACTCCTGGACTTGGTACAGTGTAAATAAAACTGCTTATTTCTAAAGCTTATTGGAAAAAATCCTGTGAGTGGTAAAATGTTTGAGCCTCTAGTTAAAAGTCAATTTTGATATCAATGTGATAGTTAACCAAAACTCTCAAATTATATACCGCGTATCTTTTTTTCCTTAAACAAAAACAAAGATTGAAAAACAGATTTTTTTCTTTTTGTTTTACTTGGGAAGAAAAAGAATGCAACTAATCCTCAATAGATGGACAGTAATGGTCCTCTGAGCAATCCAATGAATTGGCATTGTAGGCATTTGCCTTGCCATACATCTGGTGTTTTAACTTACAGAAACTGTATCTTGACAAAATGTATTTGATTGTATTATAATTAAATGGAAGGGAAAAACTAAAAGTCCTAACGTGGGTGGCTGAACAGCACTTTCCACAAGGAGCTGCCAATGCTGCAAAATGTTAATTAGACCGCCTGTTAGCAGTGTGCTCAACAGGTTGGTAGTGGCTATCTCAGATTAATTTGGATTGCTGTTTTAAAATAATAGAAGTGGGTAGTGGATATATCCCCTTAGCATAGCCATAGCTGGTGCATGTGATATGAACACACAAGTCTAGAAAAGGTTTCACATGGCTGATTCACACCTCTCCACTTTGTAAAAAGCAAAGTGAAATCTTGCTCCAGTATGTCCAACTCCATAACAGAAAAGGCAAATTTGTCTAAATTTGTTAAACCTCCAATCAAAAGCCAAATTCTGGTCCTTCATAAGCAGCTGCATAGAGCTGCAAAGTACCCTTACTAATGCATATGTGTTTCAAAAGCACTTAGAAAAAATCTACTGAAAATCTGTGATTCCTTGACAGTGCTATTATGGATGTATATGGTTTCCATGGTGTCATCCAGACATCTCAGAAAAAGTCACAGCATCCAAAGAAGTGGGCAGAATATATTACAGACAAGATTTACATTATCCTCATACCCCCTCAGGCTGAGGAATATGCCAGGCCCTTTTGACGACACAACATTATGTATGGCCATAACATTCTGTAGGCAGATGCCTTTCACACATGTACAGGGCATGGGCACATGTAAAGCTACATCATAGGCATGACCAAAATCTGAATAATGGTTCCATCTTCCACATGGACTTGCCACTGTTTTCTCTTTCTCTGTCCCTTACTCTCTCCCACACCTAAAGCATAATTTTTCTCATTATCCTCAAGAGTGTGTTTAGACTAGGCTGGAAAGCTACGACCCCACAGGCCAAATGCTTTCCTTGATCTGGCCCATAAAGTTCAGGGCTCTCTCCACCTGCAATAGGGCGAGCTGGCACCGGTGCTCCAGCCATATGGAGGAGTGCTGTGGCTGGAACACCAGTGCGGGCTCCCCAATTTGAGGGGAGCCCACAGTCTCATGGGTCCAATCAAGGCAAGCTTCAAGAGAGATTTGGCTCATGGGCTCTGCCTGGCATGGGGAAGAAGTGGCTCTGCATGCTCCAGGAAAGCACTCCTTGCAGCATTCAAAGCTGTGCAGAGCCACTTGTGCCTCCCCCCCCAGGAGCTATGCCAGGTAGGCACCCCAAATCCCTGTGTCCTCCCACCTCTTCCCTTCTGCCCAGACCCTGCATCCCCACCTCACTCCTGTACTCTCCCTTCTGCCCAGACCCCTCACCTGCACCATACCTTCTGCCCAGACCCTTCACCCTCAGCCCACTTCTGCATCCTACATCCTTGTCCAGACCTTCACCCCCACCTCACTCCTGCACCCTAGCTCCTGACCAGACCCAACATCCCCACCACAGTCCGCTCCCTGGAAGCCCCCTTCTGCACAATGAACCCCTCATTTTTGGCCCCATCTTAGAACCTAGAGGGGCCCCCACAAAATCTACTAGCCGCAGGCCTCCAGAAGAATTAATCCAGGGCTAGGGGGAAGGTGTCTCATCTCTCCCCTGTTACGCTGGAGCTTAAGGGGAGTGAGGTAAGTGTCTTTTTATTTCTGCTTCCCAGTTGTTGGCTACATCTGTGAGAGTTTTTTTAATCTTCACTGGGGGACTAGCGATGGTTTGTTTGTTTTGTTTCGCTTCTTACTTGCATGTGGCTCCCAACTGATTTTTCTGTTGGTCAGTGACCCTTACCCCCAAAAAGTTCCCACCTCCTGATTTAAGGTCCATGTGAACAAAAAAGGTTATCCTTCTTTCAGAGGGTGGGGAAGCTTCTTCCTGGCTGCCTGGAAGCAAAAAAGTTGTCTTCAGCTCACTACTCTGCACAGGTGACTAGGGGGAAACAGAACGTTGGATGTTCCAGGGGTTTCAGTGCCAGCCTGGGACTTGGGATTTCCAGTTCCAATTCCCTGCTCTGCCAGAATTCACCTGCAACTTTCAGTAGGTCACCAAGGATTTGTCTTCACTGACGAGTTAACTTATGCTTGTCCCTAACTCTAGTCCTGCCCCCGCAAAATCTCTTAACTCATGTGGTGATGCTTTTAACTAGAGCTGGTGGGGGTGCAGAGTACAGCTTGAGTTAGCATTTCTTGTCAGCTGCTAGTACGATCTAATGTCACTAACAGAATTGCTTTGCATGGGCCAGCTGTTGTTTCACAAGGTAGCTGGTCTCTTGTGAGCTCAGCTAATTTGAATGTAGATCATTCAAGTTAACTCGGCAGCGAAGAACTACACCGAGTCTCTCTGTGCCTCTGTTACTCATCTGGATAACAGCACTTCTCTATCTCACCGGTAGTGTGAGGATAGATATATTAAAGATTCTGAGACACTCTGATACAATAGTAATAGGATCTAGATAAGTATAGATAATGAAGCTGGGCTGGAGGATGCAGAGCAAATGACAGAAGACACTGCATAAGAGCTACTGCACTGGCTTGGAAGACTGCACCAAGGAGCACTTTGCACACCTTGGCTGTTTGGTGAGCCAGCCTGGGATTTTTTTCTATTATGTTTTCAGGCAGTATCAGACCAGTTTGTCTTGTTCTTTTTGTAGACACATCATCCTGAGACCCTCGGGAAAGAGGGGAAAATTTGAGGAAGGATACAGGAAACCAGTAATATTACAGTATTTTGTTTCCTCTCTCCCCACAGGTAATTTCCATATTAAGTACCTTGTGTGGCATGGTGCTGGTGGTGCTCACAAGGGCATTATGACTGATGACATTGAAAAATGATAAGCATACATACAAAGAAACAGGTGTTATGAGGAAAAACCCTGACAACCTTGCTCAGGCTTGTACTCAGTCCTGGCATAGGCAAAACCCAATTGAGACAAGGAGGAGGTTGCCTAGGACTGAATACAATGCACCTCCAGATTTGGTTTCATATTTGTAATACTTGCACATACCAACCTATTACAGATTAGTTATTCACATTCTGGCACCATGCTGTCTTCATTAGAGCATCAGATTGTCCTACATCCTCATCACTTACTCTCTCTTCAATCAACTGTTCAACTTCTGCCCTTTTTGGCTTCTTTCATAAGGCACGATTAAAAGCTTATTGTTCCCAGAATACAGACTTTAGAATCCAAATTAGCTGAAAATTAATAATTTCCACCTGTTACCTGCTCTCTGACTGGAACCCAGTTGGCTCAGGTTAGAAAAGAGCAAAGTTAGGTTCACAGTAAATTGTTTCCTTTCCTTTCCTTCCTTCAATGATTTGTTTTGTTTTTTAAAAAGGCAGATGGAAAGCTTCCAGAAAGTAAAGTTTTCCAGATGTAATAAATGTCAAGACAGATCCTAAATTTGACTGAAAAAACTAAACAGTAAGAAACCAACCAACCAACCAACCGAACCAACCACTAAATGGAGAAAAGGGGGTGGAAACAAAAGAAAAAAAAACTTGCTGCATAAATGAAACCACAACCAAACTGCTTTGTTTAACGGAAGGCTGAAAGTTACTGTTCATCATGCCAGTTATCAGGAAATGATATTCACATTGAAATGCACTAATAAAGTTTTCTAATATATTGGTGGGGGGACAAAAAGAGAGAAAAATCTTAGATTCAGCCTAACAATATCTTTACATTTAATTATCTTGTTGATTTTTATGAAGATACTGTATATTTCAGTGCCACATCTGAAAATACAACAAAACCAGAAATATTTTCTTACACTGATATTTCTTGCTATATTCCAACATTAGAGAAAAATCAATAAGGATTAATTTATGGAAAATACTTTTAGCAACTGACAAATGACAGAAATTCTCAGCAGAGCTAACAGAAGTGTGAAAATAATTTGAAATAAGTATGTGGCCACCCTATTTTTGTGCTAAAATAAACAGGAACAAAAAACATTTCCGAAGTAAGTGAAACATGTTTTACAGTTGATAAAATGAGACCCAGTCAAGTGTATCACATGGAAGCCTTTGGATCCATTCCCATTTCTCAAGCTAGTTCCAAAATTACCTTCCAGCTGTACATAATACAGTGGAAACATTTCAATGGCCTGTCAAAACATCTAGCACTAAAGCAAAGAAATATAGGAAAGAACTGAGACCCTCATACTGGTTTGGTCTTCCAAGAGAAAAAAAAAACACGTAATAGTTAAAATATGTAATTTGCCTAAGTTTGGACTTCCTATTCCCTGTAGTTCAAAGAAACCTGAAAAGACAACATGAGAAATACAATATGCAGAAATTAGTTTAAAAATACTGAAATGAGTATGTCAACTGAGCGTCTCCTAGTACAGAGGCAGGCAAACTACAGCCCATGGGCCATATCCGTTCACTCAGAGCTTTTGATCTAGCCTTGAAGATGACCAGTTTGGTTGCACAGTGGGAATAAACCAGGCTCCCTGCCTGCTGTGGCCCTGTGCCACTCCCAGATGTGGTACAGGGCACAGTGGCTCAGGGTATGGGCAGAGAAGGCTCTGCATGCTGCCCTTGCCAACAGGCACCATGCCTGGAGCTCCAACTGATCAAGTATGGGGAACCATACCCATTGGGAGCTATGGGGACAGTGCCTGCAGGCGAGGGCAGCTCATGGAACCATCTGCACTTCCACTCCAGGAGCTGCTGCCAGAAGTATTGGCCACTCCTGGGAACAGCACAGAGCCAGGGCAGGGGAGAGCCTGTCTTCCTGCTGCGCCGCTGACTGGGAGACACTTGAGGTAAGTGGTGCCTGGCTGGAGCCCGCATCCCAGACCTTTCCTGCACCCCATCCCCAAAACCCCTCACGCACCCCAACCCCCTGCCCTGATCCTCCTCCCACACGCCTGCCCCAGCCCTGCATTAATGTCCAGACACACAATGTCCATACTCAGATGTGGTCCTCAGGCCAAATGGTCCATGCCTTGCCTAGCAACACAACACAGGTGCTGCTCATGATCATCCCAAAATGCCAGGGGTCCTTCCTGACTGT